TTTCCTTAGATAGAAAACTTTGAATCAATTTGGCTGTATGATCTGGTGAACTGTAAAGTGCCTTGAGATGACATGAGCTGTGAATTGGTGAAATAAAAATAAACTGAATTGAATTGAACATAATTCAAAATTGATATATCAATGTATAACACATAGGAGAAATACATTTTACTCTGTCTATATTTAGAAGCATAACTGCCTTGTATTGAAACTTAAGACATCCACACTAAGATTCACACACATATAGTGTTGCATACATTGTTTGCCCAGGCTATTTTTGCAGCATTTATCTTTAGGTTATCATATTTGTTTGTTGAACTTGACCTAATGTGCAGTTTGCAGCAAACACAATATATAAAAAAACATAATTTGTTGAATGTTTTTTCCAGAACATCCCAAAGAAATATAAAAAAAATTCCATGCAGTACAGGTTGAGAAAAGATGCAAGACATTGAAGCTACGCTTAGCAAAGGTAGATAATCAAGAGCTGTTGAGACTTGTTTTAAGTCACTCTCTCTTCCCTTTTCCTCATTTACCGCCTCTTCAGCTTATCTTGTGCTTTTATGTATATTTACTGCTCCCCCTTCTTCTCATCTCTCCACGTCCTTAAATAAGGATGCAGAGATCAAAAAGTTAATCATAATCCCAAAACTCATTACACAAAAACCCTAATTTAAAAAAAGAGACCTAGTGAAGAGAAAAGGTAAAGTCACGTTTGTGCTAAAAGATTAAGCTTCAAAAAGATTTTAAATGTTCTGTATTAAAACAAGTACTCTGGACTTGTGGAAAAAAATGTAGAAGCTGACCGCCAGACTAATCTGCAAAGTGTCAAGTGTTTTGGTTTAGAGGGTGGGTCAGACATACTTATGTTTTTTGTGCATATCTAGATGTGTAGCTGTGCCAGAGTTTGAATCTTAACCAGTTATGAGGAAAGCTAGTCAAATATGCCGACTGTGGGAGTCTCTGGCAAAGCTCCAAACTAAGCAAAGGAACCAGGTTGTTGATATAGAGCCAGTTAACAACTTGCACGGAATCCATCCAGTGTTGTAAGTGCAGACATGAAATGAGACCTATAAGATGGAAGAATTACCCTTCTTTGACATTTAGTCACATCAGCGGGAGATAAATGGGCATGTGCTAACAGGTCCAGTTTTTAACTGTGGCGCATATTGTTCACAAAACAACAAAAATAAAACCGCCTGCTGTCATTTGGAAACAGCTGTAAGGCATGTGACACCTTGATTTCACATTTAAAACCAGGCATTGCGCAATATATGTTTTGTTAGAGGTGTTAACACCTACTGACATCTGTGATTTTACCTGAAGGGATCATTCTGAAACAGGTTTGACATCTACTGGTTAATTTTGTGTTGGCTTTTTGCCAAACACCTTGGATCCAAGTGGGACAACATGCCAATCAAAATATTGTTTGATATAGTTGTTTAATAAATGGGATTTTCTTAAACTTTCAAAAAAACTTGTTTGTGTGTTACTTGATTAATCTTGTAAATGAAATAACTGGCTCTACTACCTCTTTACACTTGTAGAAAATGTACATTTATCTCTTAATATATCTACATAACACCCAAAGAGATCTGAAATCATATACTTTTGGATCATTGCTAAGATGCAGCAGATTATGAAAAATCTAGAACCGCAAATGTCACAAAAGATCCAAATGAAAACTAAGACAAAAAACTACACGTTTAATCGTCCACTCCAACAAAAGAGCAGCCGGATGTTGGAATTCTTTTAGAAGTGGCTGATTTTGGAGATGATCCAATGTCTGAGGGGCAGATTATTTACCTGCTTTATAACATCTTAATGCAAGTATCAACAGGGTTTGATCTTTGTATGGACAAATCAGACCATTCAACACCTAAATACAACACACAGCAATGACGAGGGCCTGAAGAATCTGAAAGCTTTACGGTTGTTAAAGCACCATGATGACACATTGATATAAATTACATGTCGTTAATCAAGAGATGACTTCCTTAGCGTGTTCAACCTGTAGTTCCAAGTGGCTCCACCCTCCATTATGGTTCCTAATACTTTAAGTTGAGCTAAAAATTATGCAGAACCAACAAATAGTTTTAGGTACATATATAATAACAAATGTGGATATTTACAGTTTTTGATTAAAACATCCTTTCTGGTTTATTTAAAGATTGGCATTGTAAGTTCCATTATTATTTTTTTGAGCAAATTTTTTGAAAACAATGCTTTTTTACACATTACAATACACTAAAGGCCGGATTTATCAAGATCCAATTTTGCGTGCAGTAATTTGCGCTCGCAAACTGGAATTTTGCGCGAGGGGTTAAACCATGGTTTGCGGGTGAGAGTGATTGCGTAACTGGTGGCAGGTGCAAAACTGTTGGAGACGCCCTATTTAAATGATGGTTTTGCGCGTTTTGTGGTTTGCGGCAAAGTAGTTTGTAGTTTGTACAAACTAGTGCATTAAGAAATTTAAATCTTACAGCGACACCCCCACCCCCTCCAAAAAAAAAAAAAAAAAAAAAAAATATATATATATATATATATATATATATAAACTTTGGCAACCTTTATTTCCTAAGGTGGTATGTGGCTGAATTTCTACTTCACTGCAGTAAAAAAAACAAACAAAAAAAACAGGTGTTTTGTATTGGCCTGTAGAAAAATGCACATATCAAATGGCTCACAAGAAGTGACTGTGGATAAGATTTATGGAAGGCCGCGTACGCATCCCCGCAGCATTGGCATGTTGCTCCACAGGCGCAAGGGGGAGGTCTGGTTTCTCCGGTAGGGCGTCAGGGCGACATGGCATTTAGAACGTCGGACAGCACTTCTGAAAAACGAGATCCCAGCTCTCGCTGCAACCGTACGCTGGAATGACCCAGATGCAAAAAAAGTGCAAAAGTTTTGTAATATCTGGTATTGCGTGGGTCCTCCTTGTGGCTGGCTCCAAATCCATTCGGAGTTCCCCCAACAGCTCCAAAATGGCAATGCTGTATAAACGATATGTTTTGATGATTGTTTCCTCGTTCATTCCAAAAATATTCACACGGAGTGAAAAAATGCGTTCTCTGCGTCTCCTTGCTTCATTTCGATGTCTCCTTCTTGCGACAATAACCGCTGCCATGTGTGCGCAATTACGCATACAGACCATTTGCACCTTCTTTTGAAACGTGTTAAATATAGAGTCAGATACCGTTAGCAAAATTGCTTTCAGGTTTAATAAATCACTTTGCGAGTGCTAAATTAATATATTTACATGTTCTCCTCCCACAAGACGCACTATTGCGTGTAAACGCCCCATATTGCATATTCATTGCAGAAAAAGTACTAAATGGATAAGAGGCGCTATTTAGCACGTTTTAAAGACCAAATCCTTTTAGCACGCTGTTGATAGATCAGTTTGTACATTTTTTAGTGTGCGCAGTGAAATAGCTCACGTTTTTATACACGCAAAACTTTGATAGATCCGGCCCTAAGTTTCCAACTTATCCTGAAATCAGAGCTTTTTAAACTAAAATATATAATAGATTGGTGGTTCTTACAAATGGCAACACATTTACTATACTGTATTTTCATTGTAAATTGGAAGTGTTACAATAGTAGATCATGTGACAGTTGGAGTTGGGCAAAAGGTTTTGTATTGTAAAGGCTCTAAACCCCTGATCTAGACTTTAAAAAAGAGATGTAGACACATAATTCCAGAATATAAGAAGAAAACAAGTTTTGGCTTTCTGGTTTATTTCATTCCAATTCAAAATGATTAAACAACAAGATAATTGTTTTAAACATTGAATTTATTTCTTCTGGAAAAATCAAAGTTAATACATTTAAAAATAAGGCTGTAACATTTCAAAAAGGGAAACTGTGAATCCTTTCTGGGTGCAGCATGTATGTTGTAGTTAAATGTCCCTTTGTTTCAAGCTTTTGTGTAGTAACATCATTTGGGTGTGTAGTTTTGCTGACCATATGCGATTTGCGTATATGTTAAGTAGCGGTTGGTTTGAAATGGTTGCGTTGGTTACGCCATCTCGGTTCGATCATCCAAACTACAAAAACAAATTTTGTAAAAGATTATCAATATTAACCTACATTACATCGCTGTGCCCCCCTTTTACACTAAATGTTGTCATTTTTTATATGGACCATTTTCCCCAGTCTGTTTTTTATACTATTAATAACCTCCTGCTGTTGGGTAAATATCATATCCTCTGTGCCAAATGGAGAAATGCTAAAGCTTCCTTTCATTGGTTTATTAATGACTTTAAAACCTTTTTTTCTTCTCTTAAAAAGATAAAAAAAAATGACAAATATGCCAAAAAATTAAGACTTGATTTCTCCAAACATCTGCTGTTCTAGGTGCGTTCACCTTATTGTTTTTATTATTTCTATGGCACTGTCTATGTTTGATTTAAATGTTTGCTGAGATCAATCCCCTGATAGTTTTCTTACTTTTTGTTTTTCTTTTATTGTAATTGATCTTTATCTGTTCATGTACACCTTTGCTATCCTCTCTGAGAGTATTTCTTTCATGTAAATGTTTTTGACTTAATAATAATAAAAAAACAAAAAAAATAAAAAAGTATTCAGGTGTAATCCAAAAGTGAAAGAAGTAAAATATAAAATTATAAATAGTTATTATCCAACAGCAGAAACAAAGTCGACGTATAGTTCCAGAAAATAATGAAGGATGTGGTATTCAGGGTGCTAGACTGAGCTACAAACACGCACACAATAGTCAGAGAGCAATTTAAATATATATATATATTGGCGCACTGATGTAGTTTTTTGAGGAAAAACGTCCAAAACGTACGAAATAGTGTGCACAACTTTCCGTATGATTTCATACGCACTGATAATGAGAATATGTTGTTTTATTATGTTACACATTTATTTAGGAAATGATGGTTTATCAAAGATAAAAGTTGTTGCTGCAGCTGTTAAATGGAAAAAGCAGAAAAGCTCTTAGTCTGCCAGCCAATGCGGACGTAGCAAAAACATCAAACCTCCAGCCTCCCTACTCTGGCCTCATCTTCCTCCAGGCGACCTCCACTCCAGGTCACGTATTCCACAAGATTCATGGATGCTGGTGGCCTTTCCATTACAATGACCAGGTTCTGATCCACATTGTACCAGTCCAGGAGGGTGACGGCAGCAAACACCCCCACAGCATTCGGCTCACCTCCGGCTTTCTGCATGAGGGCCACCTCCAGGGGAACACTGTCCACCTTAAAAAAAACACAATGACCTGATTGTGTAACTAACAGCAAAGGACAAATACTGTCTACTAACATGACTGGGAGGCTGGCTGCTTCTAAGCCAGTTCACTCACTTCACTCAGTCTGATTTGACCTATCCTCATGTCTATGTACTTGATGGCCACCTGTTGGACAAAAGCACAAGTGTTATCCTTTCTGCAGACATAGGCAGTGATGCTTTCAGGATGCCTGCTTAGATTTGAGTCAAAGACAGACAGAAGGCCAAGAACACAATATAATACCAACCGGTAATGAATCCTCCAGGCGAAGGCCAGCGTAGACGGACCCGAAGCCCCCTATGCCAATCAGTCCAAGATGTTTGTATTTTCTTTCAAACTCAGCTAAGAGTGAACAGAGAAATCACCTGATTATAACAAAGCTGTGAATACTGTCAGATTATTGATGTTAATGATGAACAACAGCAATCAGAGATGCAGACATCATGTCTGTTGCTTTCAATAAACCTCCAAACTCTTTGTTTCTGTTTGGGTTTTTCAAGGATCAGAAAATGTCTGTTTACATTCCTGTCGGGGGTTAAAATATTTTCCTTTTATATTTTCAGGATGGCTTAAATTATTTTTATGATTTCTTCAAATTTTAGTAAGCTAAACCGTCTTAAAAAAATAAGACTGATATCTATGCTGACGACCTGATTGAATTAGAAATACTTTCATAAATATTGAAAACTTTTCAAGTTCTTAAACTGAGTTGAATTTAACTTTGACCATTTGAACCATTTGTGCAGAAACTCTGTTATTTTAACCTGATTATAGCAGCAATTATTATCTTATAGTAAGCATTAGAAATTTCCAGAGACTGTCAATGATTCAGAATCAAGTTCTTTATTCATATGAAGATAATTTTCCCATAAATGGTTCATTAATACTGGATCCAGGAAAACTTTTCCCTCTTCTGTAACTTTTCACCTTCATTTACTCTCTAATCACAAACCGATGAGTTTTATGGGAACTGATGTCAGAGTTGCACTTCAGGAAATTTGAATTAACTGTCAGGTAAAAAAAAATTAATGCATGGTTTTCAGAATTTGATATAAATCTACGCCCTCTGACCAGCTTCTCTGTGCCTGCTAAAGGGGAACACATCCCACAGCATGACACTGCCACCATCCTGCTTTACACTGCGAATGGTTGATTAAGGGGGTTATTACTATTAGCTCTAGCTTTGCTATTTAAAGCTGTCTGGCTTTGAATTAAACCTTTAAACATAGAAGTTATAACATTTCCTCTCTCAACACTAAAACTTAGAAGGAGGAAAATAGCTTGTCTTTAGCCTAAGCAGAAAAAGGAAGGATGTTTGTGTTCCCACTTCAGGAGTTGCTGAGGTGCATTTATTTCAGTGTTGGGCTCACATTTGCTTGTTTGCAAGTCAGAAACTGAGCTGCTGGTGCCTTGCTCTGGCTCAGAGACTCTCTGCCTCTTCTTAGAGGACTCTTCTGGGACATCAGCCTTTCTCTTCCTCGCCCTAATGGGTTCCTGCTCTTCCTCTGGCTCCCTGAGGCTGATACTGGGGCTGCTTATCACTATTATGCTGGCTGGTGCCCGTCCAGTAGAATTGCTCTTTCCCTTTTCAGAATCAGAATCAGAAATGCTTTAATAATCCCAGAGGGAAATTACTTTTGTTACACGCTCCAGTTACAGGTTTATACATATATATACACACATCCAACAACACAAGATAATAAATAAAAAAGAGATAAAATATATACACATATAGCTATATATATATATATATATATATATATATATATATATATATATATATATATATATATATATATATATATATATATATATATATATATGTGTGTATATATATATATATATATATATATATATATATATATATATATATATATATATATATATATATATATGTATATATGTATGTATGTATTTTGGTATTTATTTTAGTACCTTTTGGTACTCTCTCACAAACTCTACGGACACAGAGTGATCTTGTCCAGCGTTGAGGTGGCTGAAGTTCTTGCAGTTCTGTTTGCATAAATTTTTGTTGTCCAACTTGGTGACAACCTCCGCCTTTCTTTTCCTGCAGCTTGGCTCATCCAGACGGCTGCTGGGTCCATCAAAGACACTCTGGTTATCTGAAAGAGTTAATTGGACAAATGTTTACACTCTATAGCAGATCTATTTAGGAAGCACTAAAAGAGGGTGCAGACTGAGAGAAATCTAAAACCCCTCTTTTTAGTTATAAAACACGAACCACCAAATACTTTGACAAGAAAAAATTACACTTTCCCATGAATCCACTGATCCTGCATCACCAAAGATTTGATAGAATAAAAACTTGACAGCAAGGAATTAGGTTTTTGCAATTTCTGGAGGAAAAATGCATAATTATCATATTTTTTACATAAAAGGTAACTGCAAACCTTTTATTGTCAAACCATGTTATGTTTTTCCAGTAAATGTAGCATAACAATCTTTTGGGATTTTATAATTTAATAAACATTCATCAAATCACAATAGGAAATGAACTGATTGTGTTTCTCAAACACATCTAATGATAGTACATTAAAGGTATAGCGGTGGATTTTTGCAAATTTTTTAAAAGACCTGCCCTCTCCACTTAAAAAAAAAAAAATGCACATGCACAACCCTGAACCCAAGGGGGAAACGCGTTCGAGCTTTGCAATTTTGCCACTATGTTAGACTGAAAATCGGAAATGGGGTTGAGCACGCAGGACGGCCCAACTTAAATATTTTACCAGAATGATAAACAATAAGGAGTACCACTAACATTGATGATCCACCCGGAAAAATAAAATCCTCCACTATACCTTTAATATAAGATAAATCTGCTGCAACGTTTGGTTCCCTAAAATTTAACTCTGAATTTGCATTCCTGTTTCTTTTTCATATACCTTGAACATCACCTTGTTTTCAAGAGAAAAGAGCAGGTGTGTTGGCCTACAGCTTAAAAATGATATGGGGAGGAAAACTTACAGAACACATTCGCTGACAGAACATCCACTCCTAGAGCTATGGAGGGAATTTAGCTCCATTTTTGTTGCAAACAAAAGAACAAGATTTGTAAATGTAAATAGAAAAGAATCCAGAAATATAATGTAGAAAATAAATAATCCCCCCCCCCAAAAAAAAAATATATATATATTTTTTTTTTACAAATTTTATAAGTTCAACCTTTATCTTTCATCAATTTATATTTTTAAATTTGTGTTTCAGACTGAGTTTTTAGACATTTCATTCTCTCAGCCGAATACAAACGCTTGCTCTTGATGCACACATTGACCAATAAGGTGTTGTTGCTAACGTCCAGCAGACCAATAGAAATGCCTCATTGCTCCGCCCCCGAGAAATATAGAAAATTTCATCCATGAAGCACAATTTGCATATAAAGCAATTGATCAAATGTATAAAATGTTTGAAAATGAGAAAGTAAAGGAAAAAAATCAACAAACTTAAATTAGAAAACAACATTATGAAATACAGAATATTGCAAAATTAAAAAAAAAACTGTTTAAAAAGTTTGAAATATTTTTTTTCAAATTCCACTCACTGATTTCCACTTGATTGACTGAGCTTGAGGTGTTTAGTAAATCAGAATGGACATCATGATATGTGGTGTGTAAACTGGTAAAGAAGTTTACTGAAAGACATAAGGTGTTTTTATGGATTATTGTTTATGTCTAACATGAATAAATTCCTCTCCTTGCAGATTTATATCAAATTTTGAAAACCTGGCATAAATTTTTATTTACCTCACAGTTATTTCATATATCCTGATGTGCAACTATGACATCAGTTCTCTTAAAACTTGTAGGTTTATGATTAGAGAGTGAATGAAGGTGAAAAGTTGCAGAAGAGAGAATAGTTTTCCTTGAACCAGTATTAATGAACCCTTTATCTAAAAACTTCATATTCAGGGGTTGACGTTAAGTATTTTTACTACTTGCCCTTCGTGCAAGTAACTTTCACATTTCATTTGCCCGGAAACAATTTTTACTTGCCCAGTATAATGTTTGATAAATATAGTTCCTAATATTCATTTTTGTATATATATCAATTAAACATGTTTGTTTTTTAAATTGTTTTTGTAATTCAGTATTTTTTAAGTTTACAGGTTACTTGTGTGTATCTGCATGCGTCAGACAATGAACTCAAGCCTACATTACCGTGTTAACATGCTTTTCAATCCTTCCTGCACATTCTTTTCAAACCAAACTTTGCTTTAAACTGTTGTGTGCTTGGAAAAATATAAATTGTAATGTTAAAAATCTAAAACAAAAAAAAATTGACAGGTTAAAAACTTAAGATAAATCACAAGACAGAAGTCAATGTCACAAATGAATAACTTTTATTTTAGAGTCACGGTATGTTGATACAAGATAATACTAATAATATAATGTGACTTTTCTAGAGAATCATTATACATAGTTATTTTATACAGGGTTTCCACAGTCTTACATCATTTCAGAATTCCCTGACTTTTAACTGACAGGATTAGTTTTCCCTGACGAAATAAATGCAGCAACAAGACAATAATAAAAACATAAGCGGTCACCAATTTAACATGTTTAGCTCTATAACATTTAAATGCACCTCTCCAATGTCTAAGAGGAAAAAATGTAATGAACATTTTTTAATGTATGACCTGCATCACTGTACAGAAGACTGCCATATTTAAACTGTGCGCATGGCATACAATTATGCCAATTTTCCTAATCCCTGACTGATAATTGTTAATCTAGGGTTATCTGGGGGCTGGGTGAAATGAGTGGAGGGTAAAATAGCCTTATTGTTGTTTTTTAGCCTGCCAAGTCAAAAATAATGTGTCTGATTCGCGCCGGACAAAAATCCCCGGACAAAAATGACACAATCTCGCAGAAATTTCAAATCACGCGACAATGTGTCAAAAACAACAAAAATGGCGCCGGCAACGCTTCTGGGTCGTTTTCAGCGATTGTCAGTGATTTTAAAGTAATTTTGAGTGATAAATATTGTTTTTTTGCAGTCATTGCACTTGCCCGGAAATTTGTACTCTCCCGACAATGAAAACTACTTGCCCCGGGCGATCGGTCGATGGTTAACATCGAGCCCTGCTTAACTAAAGCAAAACAAGTCACTTCGAAATCTGATAAATTTTTACCCTCCTTATAATGTTTTGCTGACATTAGTGAGATGATGTAGACATAAATTTTGCATTATTCCTATTCCCATGCTCCTTGTCTCAACTTGTCCAGAGATTATCCCTCAGGGTGCAGCAGGAAATTGCTCCATCCTCTTAACGATTGTTTAACCTCCTTACCAACACAACAAATATTACACATGAACCCACACCATCAGTTAAGCATGTACAACAATCACAGTCTCAGCTCTTGACAGAAGACTGTCAAGCATATACTAAAAAAATTAATATATTCTTAGGATATCGCTATCAATGTGCACTGCTGCTTTGGGAGGTCTGATGATGAGCTGTTCAGTACAATTATTTTTCTTCCTGTTTACCCTGCTCTAAACAATCACCAACCAGCTGACTCTTTGTTCAGGTGTACAGTACAGAACTCGTCTTTGTGTGTCTTGCGCTGTTTATGTGTGTTATCTGGTTTCTATTTCAACAGACTAATTCAGAGGAAAAATGTTTTTTTTTCTGATAACCGAACAATGTTGGGGTCTATGGAAGAGACTTTGTTTTTGCTGGAGCCAAACTGCTTCACATGTGGATTGATAATAGTTGCTCGTGAAATATTTTATTTTTCTAGGGATCAACAGTAAAATAAACTAGTGTGATATTACTGTCAGATTGTGTTAGTTTTAAAGCCGGCTAAACAGTAAAGAACCATAAAATATTATAAGGGTGCATTTTGATGTCGAGGTTATCAGAGGTTCAGACATAACCATGTTACCAGCAAGCACCATAATGCAATGAACTACTGCGCCACTGCATGCCCTATTATAGATGTTTTAATATGACCTATTGGCTATTTCTTTGATAGCACTGCATCATGCCTTCTGCTCATATAAGCAATGTGATTACTTTTAGCTCCCTAAGGACTTAAACCTTTATAGTGTGTTTTTAATTAAAATTATTACTAAAAAGGTTATAACTATGAATAGATGTTTATTGAAATTATGGTTCTACTTATACTTAATAATGCATCTAACTTGCTGTTTGCATTAAATATTGTCGGTAACATTAGTTATAGGATTGTAGCTTGTTACTCCTGTGAATTACTGAAGTTTTCAGAGTTTAAGAAATAAAAGCAACATATAAAGCTCACCTCTCACTCATAGCAATGAGCTGATACATAGGAAATGTTTGAACACAATGTGCATTAGTATACACTCCTTAATATGTCCTGTTCTACCTCTTTGAGTAATAAGGTCAGCAGCTGTTCTGTCTTCACTGCAAATCTCTGCCAGGTTTTTGTTTCACTTTAGTTGATTTAAAAAACTGTCTGTACAAAATACATCTGTAGGATTAATCACTTTGATGCCATAAAACAAAGACTTAGATTTAGAAGGGGGTCAAAAATGTGTCTGGTATTTGTCTATACCTTATTTCAATATTATATATATGATTCCAGTACTATATACCTTTTCCAGCAATTTCTTACTGGATGGATGGATGGATGAATGGACGGATGGATGGATAAAGGATGGATGAATGGACGGATGGATAATGGATGGATGGATGGATGGATGGATGGATAGATGAATGGACGGATGGATAATGGATGGATGGATGAATGGATGGATGGGTAATGGATGGATGGATGGATGGACAGATGGATGGATGGATGGATGGATGGATGGATAATGGGTGGATGGATGGATGAATGGACGGATGGATAATGGGTGGATGGATGGATGAATGGACGGATGGATAATGGGTGGATGGATGGATGAATGGACGGATGGATAATGGATGGATGGATGAATGGACAGATGGATGGATGGATGGATGGATGGATGGATGGATGGATAGATGGATGGATGGATGGATGGATGGATGGATGGATG